GCTTATTGTTCAATTCTGTCCCAGCTGTTGTTTGGTGTTTTGGTCTCGTTTTGTTTCAGTTTTTTGGACCTTAGTTACACAGGGTTGATGAATCAGACTCATTAGTTTATGGATTATTATCATTATTTGTCCCTGCAAAGCTCCTCTTCGTTTGTTTTTTATGAATGTGTGTATATATCCACATATCCACATGTGCATATGCATACATCTATCTTATCTATTTATCTGTCTATCTATCTATCTATCTATCATGGTTGATGGAATTATTGATTCCAAATATTTAACTTCCCTGCAGTGGTATTATATATCTACATCCTTGCCATAGCCACCTGGTGAGTAGGGCATTCTTCCTGCCACTTGACTTTAGGCTTGGCTGTGTGACTTGCTTTGGCCAGTGGGATATTAATCCCTTTGCATTAGCATGGTTGGGCTCACCCACTTGAGCTCCTGCCCTTCATCACAAGAAGAACGTACTGTGAATAGCCACTAGTCTGAGGAGGATGAGAAACGTATGGAACAGACCTGGACCCAATCTGTAGCTGTAACCAAGTTCCCAGCTTAGGTCAGCCAACTCCCAGCTGACCTGTAGATGAAGAGAAATAGGTTTTTGTGGTTGTAAACCTCTGAAATTCTAATGTTTGTTATGTAGTAGGATTGCAACATAGCTGACTATTACATCTTCCTTCCTCCTTTCCTCCCTCCCTTTTTCTCTCTCTCCTTCCTTTTCTTCCTCCTTCCTTCCCTCCCCTGGTCTTCTTCCTTCCTTCATCTGTCTATTTATCCCATTTTATCCTCATACACGATCTTTTCCCTCCAACCAGGTGAATGTGTTTTATATGTATCTTTTAAATTCAATATGTTCTTGAAATATGTGTATTTTTGAGCGTACATAATTTTTGAATTTTTGTAAGTGGGACTGTATTATACATCTCATTCTGTTTCCAACTTTTTCACCCAGAATCTGAACATCTGATCCTTTGGTTCTAACTGCTGCATAACACTCCGTGATGTGTACCAATTACATTTTTCCTATCCACATTCACGGTGATAAATACTCAGGGTGCTTCCAAACCCCTTACAGACCCAAAGAACCATTTCCTTGGGATACATGCCCAGGTGGAGTTGCTGGCTCATAACGCAAAGGCCTGCTTAATAAGACTAAGTAGTGACAAACAGCCCTCCAGGCTGCCCTCTGCCAGCAGTGCATGAGAGTCCCTCTGTCCCTCTTCCTTACTGGCCTTTGGCATTAGCCAACGTCCTCTTGTTTGCCAGTCTAATTGTTTTCACATGCATTTCACTGATTAGCAACGACGTGGAGCATCATGACGGATGCCTGTGAGCCTTTTGGGTTTCCTCTTCTATATCTTGCCCATTTTAGCTATTAGAGTTGTTACCTTATTAATTTTTAGGAGTTCATTGTATATTCAAAAAGTTTTATCCCTTGTTAGTTTAGATGCTGCAAATATCTTCTCCCATTTTGGTAGGTGTCTGTGAACTCTGTGTATAGAGCTCTTGATTGAACTAAAATTCTTAACTTCTGTGTAATTTAGTTTACCTCATTTTTTTGCCTTGTGATTTATGCTTTTGAAGTTTTGTTTGAGAGGTCATTCCCTGCCCTAGGTCACAAAGATATTACCCTACATTTTGTTCTTTTAACCTAATCATTTTACCCATCACATTTATGTATTTTTCTTATTTTTTAAAGTTCTGAAATTATAAATGTACGTATTGAACTTTACCGAAAGTGTTTTGCATCTGAGATGATTAGGTAATTTTCTATTTTTGTCCATTAATGTGGTGAGTTATATTTATAGAATGTCTGATTCACTCATTCTTCCATTCCAAGGATAAACCTGATTTAATTATGAATTTTTTTTAGTATACTATTAGGTTAACTTTACTTAACATTATTACATCTGTGTTCATACATGAAACTGACGTATAAGTGTCTTTATTATACTGTTACAAAGCAGTACTTATTCAATTAAATTCTTATTCAATTTTGATATCAAGGATATTCTAGCCTCGTGAAATGCGTTGGTCTGTGTTACGGGTTGAATTGTGTCTCCCCAGAATTCATATATTACAGTCCTAATCCTACAGCACCTCAGAACGTGACCTTCTTTGGAGACAGGATCTTTACAGAGGTAATGAAGTTAAAGTGACGTCACTAGGGTGGGCTCTAACCCAATATGACTATCTTTATGAAAGGGGAGATGTGGACACAGAGACGCTCACACAGGGAGAGCACCATGTGAATGGTGGATCACAGCCATCTACCAGCCAGGCAGAGGAACCTGGAACAGATTCCCTCTCACGGTCCTCAGAAGGAACCAACCCTGCCAGCACCTCGCTTTTGGACTTCTAGTCTCCAGAGCTGCGAGACAATACATTTCTGTTGTTTGAGCCCCCAGTTTGTGGGACTTTGTTATGGCAGCTCTAGCAGACTAATACAGTCAGCCTTCCCTTTTTCCAGTTTTGGCCGTGATTTAAATAAAATAGAGATTATTCAGAACTAAGCAGGGGCCGGCTCCGTGGCCGAGTGGTTAAGTTCTCATGCTCCACTGCGGCAGCCCCAGGGTTCGGATCCTGGGCGTGGACATGGCACCGCTCGTCAGGCCATGTTGAGGCGGCGTCCCACATCCTACAACTAGAAGGACCTGCAACTAAGATATACAACTGTGTACAGGGCGGGGTTGGGGAGAAAAAGCAGGAAAAAAAAAAAAGATTGGCAACAGTCATTCACCCAGGTGCCAATCTTTAAAAAAAAAAAAAAAGAACTAAGCATTGTAGTATATTATGAGTATATTTTCTTTCTTGTACCATTTGTGTTTTCCTTGGCACCAATACTTGATTTGCTTCTCTACGTGCTTAGCTTTGTCAGCACAAAACATTAATTCACCCCCAAACTTTTTACCGTGAGTAAGTCTCTTCTCAATGCATTCAAATATACCAGGTGGTCCAAAATTTCATTTTCCTGGAGCCATGACCTCCTCCTGTAACATGGACTTGTCGTTCCCCAGCTCTGCCACGTGACGCTCACCCTGGAATCTCTCCCCACACCTCGAGGATCTCCTCTGCCTCTGTCCTGTGACGAAAGTCCTGTTTCCTGGATCCCATGCTTTTCCCTTTCTTGGTTGACTGTTTTTGGTGGATCACATCCTACGGTGGCACAGGACAAAGTGTGCGAAGGGCATATTTTTCCTTTAATTTTAGGAAATTCTTCACCATTACAAATATTTTCTTCCTCCGTCTGAAGCCTGCTTTCTCTCCGTTCACAACTCCTAATTGATGGGGCCTGTTACTCCTGGTTCTGTCTTCCATATTGCTTACCTTTTACCTGATTCTTTCCAACTTTTATCTCTTTCTAATGACTTTTAGGATAGTTCTTGTATATGATTTTATAGCTCACCAATTCTTTCTGCAGCCAGGTTCGTTCACTCTGCTATTCAGACTACCCATTGATTCTTGATATTTTCAACACTAATAGCTCTCCAACTGGATGTTTTTGCTTCACGTCCCCGATCGTCTCCTGGGCTCCCTTACCGCCCTGAGGCTACGCCACTCCGGACTGCGCTGGCCTGCCCTGAGGCGGCCGTGGGTAAGCGGGGATCTGCCAAGACGATGAGGAGGAGAGAAAACTGTTCCCAGTCATTCCCTTTCTCTGGCCTCTGACCTGCCTTCCCGCTGTTCTTACCACTTCCCGTCTTCCCAAGGGCTGCTTGCAGGAAGCGGTAAATTCTGAAGGTTCTGTGTTCCTATAGCCTCTTAACTCTCGTGTGGCGTCTCCAAGTTGAGTTGTAGTGGAGAGGTGGCGCCAGCCAATGATCTGTGCTCACCATCTTGTCCAGACTGTTAAACCCGGATTATCATTTCTTTTTTTCATTCTAGGACCTTCATTAAGTAATCTCATTAAGCTCTGGTGTTTTTCTTCTATATGTAAATTGAAAGTGATAATATTTGTTCCCAATTTTACAGGAATCTTGGGAAAATTAAAATCATGAGATTGAGAATTATAAATTTTTTTACCATGCTTAAAAATGGTTCCAATTATTAAAATTCCCAAGAATCTGTCGTTCTGATGCTAAAACATTGGAAACACAGGTTCTATTCTGGTTCTGGGTCTAGTTTTCGTGTCGAGAGAAGTGATCCTGACCCAGAGGATGTTCCATGGGAGGTATGTTGGTTATAGTCCAGTCTTTGGGGCAGATGGACCTGGGTTTAATTCATGGATCTGCCATTTATTATTACATCTTAGTTATCTTTGTATCTCCAGGGCCTAGCATAGTTCCTGGCAGACAGTAAATCTTCAATAAATGGGTACCAAACAGAAAATGTTTAGCATCTCTAAGCTTCAGTTTCCTTCTCTTAAAAAGATGGGGATAATAAATTCCTAACATAAACCTTGGCACAGAGTATGTAATAATAACAAATGTTAGTTCCCTTACCTCCCTCCGCCTTCTGTGGTCTCAGCCACTGTGTTGCCCATGTTGCTTGCTATCTGAGCGCCCAAGGAAACCTGTGCTAACTTGCTGTTATCACCTCAAGTTTTAGAACAGAGCAATGAGGATGATTTTCTCCAGCTGTTATTCACACAGTAATTTCCTAAAGAGTAAATTATGAAGAACCCAAACTACAAAATGCATTCTAGAGTCTGAATCAGGTTAGAAGATACATTAAAGCTAGTGAAATACCTGATTTGGAAACAGATTTTGGAGTCCAAAAGCTAAGGAATTCATATGGCCTGATACAGAATTCAGATTAATTTCATTCGTAATTTCCCAGTGTTGCCTTTTGAAGGGACATTGATGAAAAATGTCAGATGGAAATCTAACCTGGTCTTATCTTTTTCTTAAGTGATATATTTTGTTTGCTTTTTCTTTTTTTTTTTGTGAGGAAGATTGGCTGTAAGCTAACATCTGTGCCAGTCTTCCTCTATTTTGTATGTGGGACGCTGCCACAGCATGGCTTGATAAGCAGTGTGCCAGTCCATGCCCAAGATCTGAACCCACAAACCCTGGGCCGCTGAAGTGGAGCACGTGAACTTAACCACTGTGCCACCAGGCCAGCCCCTTTGTTTGCTTTTTATACCAGAATTGGCTTGGATATTGGGACCACCATCAAGGGTACAGAAGCAAAAAGGCAAATCCAAGAGAAAGGTAAGTCTTGACTCCTTCTTCAGGAGATTGGTTGGCAATTACGAGATTCCATTGTAACTTTTTTTCTCTCCCAGGTGTTTCTAAAACAACATAAGGGAGAAATAAGACCAAAGCCAGAACAATTTAAAACAAGTCATCCACATCCTTGGCCCAGTTAGATCTTGGTCTTAACATCATTGCTTCCAGTTCATCTCAGTGCCTTAAGGTCGTGTATTAGAGTATGTGGTTGCAAGCAAAAGGAATGGATTTTGGCTAACTTAACAAAATGGGAATTTATGAGAGTGCAGTGCGGGAGGACCATTGAGGGAAGCTGACAGAATGGAAAGGAAAACCCAGGCACTGGACTGAACTAGGGAAAAAAGAAAACAGATTGCTTTAGCATTCTTAGTTTCAAGATTTACTCACCCATCTCACTAGGCTCTGCTGCCAAGATGGGTGTGGGCCATCCTCAAGATTTAGGAGGGTGGCTCTGACTGACCTGGCTTTGTGACATTTCCATCACTCATTTGGGGAGGGGAGGAGCTTTCATTTACAGTCCCACCCAGACTATACATCTTGGGGGAGATAAACTCTCCCTAAAGGGAAGGAGATTTCATTACCAAAAGACAGGGGCATGGATTCTGGATAATCAAAGAAAGAACAATTGTCTACTATGTATCATTCCCAAATGCAGTTTAAAAGAAGAATCTTTTAAGTCAGAAAGCTTCTTAATGAGTCCATTAATGAATTTAAAATTCAAATGTCAACAAGTCATGACTTAAATTTAGTGTTCTCTTCTTCGAATTATTGGGACTAATTTGAGGAAATGCCATACTCTTTATCGATTGTATTAAAGATGAGAACAATTTCCTGAGGAATAATTTCAGGAAGAGACAAAGGACAGTAGTTGTACAAGTAGGTGAACAAGTTGACCTTCTGGGCTTGCCTACTAACCTACGTTATAATCAACCTGAGTAATTCAATTTACCTAGCCTTGCAAATCATTAAAAAATAAGTAAAAACATAGGCCTGCAAAAATTCTGCCTGGCCTGCAAAATGTGCTTGGCTGCCCTCCATATTACCATCCTCTTGAGGCCTGGGCTTCTATCGTGGACAGAGTAAGAACACGCACACTCTGATATACTCCAGCACTCTAGAACTCTCTCCTCCATGGCTTCCCGGGAACCACCCCCCACCAACACACACATGAAACAAACAGAATTGAAGGAATGTGGAGGAGGGAGGGGATTGTTTTCTCATGAGGCTTCACGTGGCTTCTTTTCCACCCACGGCATGTGGCAGGAGGTGATTTTTGCAAATAAATTAACCCCTGTGCTCTTCAGTGTCAATAATACTTTCCCATTTTGCTGGGGAATTTGAATTATTGACTGTCTTGTGTCTTCATTCCCTGGAAGGTGAATTGAAGGAATTCATGTTTTTGAAGTCATTTTTTTAAAAAAACTTGTGTATACCTTTCTAGCAATTGGGTATTATTTTATTCATCCTTGATTATCTTGCAAAATGAGATACTGACTAAAAGCACTACTCCCAGTTTCTAGTGAGGCACAGAGAGGATCAGTCTATGCCTTTGAGAACAAATTGGTTTCAGAGTATTCATAGAACCTTCTAGCACAAGCTGGCCCAGCATAGGATACATTAAGTGTCTCCAGTTCAACATCTACATTCCCCTGGCAGCAAATTCCTAAGACTTTGAGGGAGAGGCTGTCTTCCAAACTGATAACATGATGATTTTCTGAGGTCCCTTTTTAATGTGTGCCTTTAAAATCAATCTTCAATATTTGTAATACTCTGAGAAGGAGAGAATAAGTGATCAGTCGTCTCAGTACTTATCTGAGGGCTTAGACACCTATTTAACTCAAGAAAAACATATTTTAGAAAGCCATGTTTGAACTCTTTACTATAACAAACAAACAGTAACAAAATACCCTTACAAGTTGTTGAGAAAAGCATGGCGACGCAGAATAAAAGCAGGAGGCTTGGAATTCCAGATAAAAATTCCAGCACTGCCTCTTGCTAGCTGTGGGCAAACTACATATGTCCTCTTGAAGCTTCAGTTTTCTCATCCATTAAATGAAGGAAATACATAGTGCAGATTTTGCAGGGAGAATTAAGCAAGCCTAATGTATGCAAAGGAGTTGTGAGCTCTCTGTATGCAATATGAACCCAATAGAGGTAGCTATTGGGAGAGAGAGTCCACGCCTAGGAAGCAGGCTGAAATGACTTGAGGTTTAATGTCTATTTGCTCTTCTACAGGAAGCAGATGACTAAGCCGTTTGTCTTTGGGCGAAGAGCCGATGAGTTCAAAGTAAATCTCCAGCTCTTCATGCCCCCAAGACAGCTCTCCAGGAAGGGGGGTTTGCCCTCCTTTCAAGGTCAGTCTCTTTTCATTTTTTCCCCAAACCCTCCCCACCCCTACACCCACTTCTCATTTACACGTTTAGTTACCTCACAGCTTTTCTCTCTAGTCTGTTTTATGCCTTCTTTCCCCCCATGTAAGAGAAAGACAGCTTATTTGATGATATTTCTCATTCGCTAAAGAAAGTGCTAAGTCACACAGTTCCAGGGTCCGAGGAGGGGGTGCTCCTCTGGCCAGGAGAGCCAACGGCTAACAGCCATCACGCTAACTTTCAGTACGGATTATTATTATTATTGAGCTTAAAGCACCTTGGCTGTTTGCCCAGCGTGTCCTTGCTAACTCAGGGTCACAAAAAAGAGTAATTCTCCGCCACAACTCAATAAGACATGGGATCTGCATGATTAAATTGACCTTAGCATTTGGGATCCTGAAATAATGGCACTCCAAATTAAATTAAAAATGGGTTAGATTGCTTTCAGTGAAGAATTGCTGTTATCCTGTACCTTTCTTCTTGCTCCCCTCCAAAGCCTTTATTGATTTCGTTTTTGCTCAGATCTGATAATATCTGTGCTATTGTTTGGAGGAATTTAAAATACTTACAAAGACTGAGACCAAATTAATAAATTAATGGAGGGAAATTGGAGAAACAAAGAAAATGAGGTGATCTGAATATACACACACGTTGCTCACGGAGGTTGCTTCTGTGGTAGACACTTCCTTTAATGAAGCCAGAGCAGAATCCTTTGTTCAACGGCCGCTTTCTGGGTGAATGTGTTTAGGCAGGACATGAGACCACTGGCCCTTGGACAGCTCCTGCTCATTTACCCCGCAGCAACCACGGTGCCCACACAGACCATTTCGATAATTAAATTCCCAGAAAACCTGCTCTGAATCACTCAATAATTGACTAAATTTGTATTTGGATGCCGTTGCTGATGAGAACAAAGCACCAAGCAATAATGCTTTCAGTTTCACCATGGTTTTATGACCTTATTGGACCACCAGGGACCTGGTACATCCCAGGGGGAATACTTTTCAATTTAATTAACCTGCAGACATTCAGCTTAAAGAGTAATAAATAAAAGACAAATACTCCCCTTTCTCCTATTTGTCTCTTATGGAGAATTACAACTGCTAATAATGTAATAATTGAAATCTAAAATAAAGCTACACAGGCAGGGAGGTGATCAGACGGTGGGGGGGGGTGGGGAGAGGGGAGCCGCGGAGGGCTTGTTGGGACGTCTCTAGGCTAGACCTGGTGGACTAGGGTTCTCCTTGGCTTTAAGCCACTAACTTGGAGGCAAAGAAGAGAGAATTCGCTACTTTCACAGGTGGATTTCAGGAGTCTCAGGAAGGGGCCCTGCTCACCGCCTCCCCTCCCAGTGCGCTGAGCCTCTCACTAGAAACAAAGCCTTTCTTTCCATTGTTACGTGGAAGGTTTGGAATGTGAAGTCTCCCTGGTGAGGGAGGGGATGATGTAAGCTCATTAACAAGAGGGGCAAGTGGCTGATGTCACATCCTCTCCTGAGAGCTGATTTTGATGAGGAAAAGAGGGGAGAAAGACCTGGGCTTTGAAGAGGGATGGGGAGGGAAAGAGTCCAGGGTTTGTCATACTTCATGCTTCTCCTGGGGCTGTTTTGGTGATGAAACATCATGCCTCCGCATCTGAACGGCAGACTCCTCGTCTATGGATACGTATTAAGCATTTACTGCGTGCCAGGTTATAGGAGAGGTGCTTTCCCACACAGCGTCTCTCAGAATTATGATAACACTGCTGCAAAATAGGATTCCTAATCTCCTCTTGCTGGAGAAGAAATTGAGGCCGGTATGCATTAATTAATTTATCCAAGATCATCTGGCTTCTAAAGGGCAGAGCAAGGATTGGAATCAAGGCCAGCCTAATCCAAAACCCACATGCTTTTTACTCCCACCATGGTGGCTCATAACAGAGCTTGATCTCAAGTGTGGGGATGATTCTTTTGTTTCAAAATACCAACTAAATCAAAATTTTGCCATCAAACTTGGAATATTTTGGTGAAAGGAGTCAGAAGGATTAAGTCCGTTTAACAGACGAGATGGGAAAAGGATATGCAGGGACCAACCCCAGTTTCCACTGCAAAACAGAAAGTATTTGGGACTCAGTGTTCTGAAGTTATACTCAACTGCTGACTGGACTCCTCCTTTTGGGTCTCCCTCAGGTACCTCAACTCAGTGTGTATACAACTGAACCCATCGTCTTGTATCAGCCCATCGCCCATACCCCTTTCCTGCTCTAACATGGTCCCTCTTATATTTCCTTTCTTGACTGCGGGACACCATCATTCATCTTTAGTCACTTTAGACAGGAATCTAAAAGTACTTCTATATTTCTCCCTCTGCTGTACCCCCCTGTTCTGCCCCACAAATCTAATCAGTCCTGTTGCATATACTTTCCAAATTTCTCTCAAATCACTTTACTTTTTCCTTTTCTCCATCTCCAACGTCAACTCCTTAGTTCATGCCCAGTCATTTCTCCTCTGTGTGAATGCTACAACCTCCTGAGTGAACTGGCCACACTGCATCCTATCTTCCCGTGCTGCCTCTCCCGGTCACCTTCAAATTGATGACAGATTGGTTTCTCCAAAACCCGAAGCCTGATACATAGAAAATGCTGAATGAATCAATAAGATAAGCAAGCAAACAAACAAAAAATTAAAAACAAATCTACTCTCAATTACAAATATTAGAATAGTAACAAATCAGCTAGAAAAAATACAAGCAGTTTGTAGTCCTTTAAACTGAGGTAAGATATACACAATGAGATATAAATCTTACGTGTAAAGTTCAGTTTTGTCAAAATATACACCTATACAAACAACAGCTCAGTGCACACAGAACATTTCCATGGCACTGGAAATTTCCCCCATGCCTTTCTCTGACGGTGAATGATATTGAGCGTTTTTCACATGCTGGTTGGCCATCCACATGTTTGATTTTGTGAACGTCTGTTCACATTTTTCACCTGTTTTTAAATTTGGCTGTTTGTAATTGTGAATTTGTGTGAGTTCTTTATAAATATGGATGAGATCTTTGTCACATAAAACTAATGTGAATATATTTTCCCTGGCTCACCTTTTCACTACTTAATTGTGGTTTATGAGGAGGAGAAAAATTTGAATGTTGGTGAAGTCTATCTGATGAATTTTTTTCTTTTATGGTTACTGCTTTTTGTGTCTTGTCTAAGAAATCTTTCCCAACCCCAGGATTTAGTGATACTCTTCCGTTTTCTTCTAGAAACTTGACATTTTAGCCATTACATTGAGGTCTAGAAGCCATTTAAAATCAATTTTGTGTATGTTGAGAGGTAGAGGGTCATAGTTTTTGATTTCTGCCCCATATGGATATCTAGCGCCATTTGTTGAGAAGATTTCCTTCCCCTATATAATTGCTTTGGTGCCTTTGTTGAAAATCAATTGACTTTGTACGTATCTGTTTCTGGATTCTGTTATGTTCTACTGTTGGATACCAATTCTACACTGTTGGTTAATACGCCTTTGTAGTAAGTTTTGAAACTGGTAGTGCAAGTACTCCAACTTTCTCAAAATTGTTTTGGCTATTCTAAATCCTTTGGATTTTCTTATATATTTAAAAATATTATCCTGTCAATTTTCACAAAGAAAAGGCAATTGAGAGTTTGACTGAGATTGTGTGGAATCTTTAGGTCTGTTTGGGGAGAAATGACATCCTAACAATAGTGATTTTTCCAATCTATGAACAATGTTTTTTTTTCCCCATTTTTAATGTTTTATTAATTTTCTTGTAGGTGTAGGTCTTGCACGTCTGTCATTCAAAATATTCTTAGCTATTCGATTTTTTTTTAAAAGATTGGCACCTGAGCTAACAATTGTTGCCAATGTTTTTTTTTTTTCCTCTGCTTTTTCTCCCCAAATCCTCCCAGTACATAGTTGTGTATTGTAGTTGTGGGTCCTTCTAGTTGTGGTATGTAGGACGCCACCTCAGTGTGGCCTGATGAGTGGTGCCATGTCTGTGCCCAGGATTCGAACCAGCAAAACCCTGGGCCGCCAAAGTGGAGCATAGGAGCTTAACCACTCCGCCACAGGGCCTGCCTCTATTCGATTTTTTGTTGCTATTTTAAATAATGTTTTTAGAAATTTCAATTTCTAATTATTTACTGCTAGTATGTAGAAACATATTTAGAATATTCTACATAAATAATCATGTGAATATGTGAATAAACCTAGTTTTGCTTTTCCTTTCCAATCTTTATACCCTTTATTTCTTTTTCTTGCCTTAAGATTTCTAGTGCAATTTGAATAGAAGTGGTGGAATTTGCATGCTCCCAAAGTTAGAGAAAAGAGATTTAATGATCTGCCATTGAACATGGTGTTGGCTTTAGGCTTTTTGTAGATGCAGCTGTAGATCAGGTTGAGGAAGTTTCCTTATATTTTCTGTTTACTGAAAATTTTTATCATGAAGGGGTGTTGAGTTCTGTCACATACTTTCCTGCCTCTATTAAGATGATCATATAGTTATTCTCTTTTTTTCCTGTTAATGTGGTGAATTATATTGAATGATTTTTAAATGTTAAACCAGTCTTATGTTCCAGGCATGAACCTCACTTGGTCATGATGTGTAATTCTTTTCATGTGTCACTGAATTCAATGCGCTAATGTTTTATTAAGGAGCTTTGCATCCATGTTCATGAGAGATATTGGTCCATAGTTGTCTTTACTTGTAGTGTCTTTGTCAAGCTTTCACCTCAGGAATGTAGCGGCATCATGAAACGAGCTGAGAACTATTTTCTCCTATATTCTTCTCCATTGCTCTCCATTGCTGGAGAAACACATCTTTATAGCTTTTTTGGTTTGCTTTTTGTTGCTCTAAGGCAATGATTTTCAAATCACCTAGAGAGTTTGTTAGAACAAACATTGGTGGGCCCTTGCCCCTGCATTCCTGATTCCATGAGTCTGGATAGAGACTGATAATTTTCATTTTTACCAAATTCCTAAGTGATGCTGATATGGCTAGACTGTAACCCAAACTTTGAGGACCACTTTTCTATGGCTTAAAACATGCATCTTTAACTTATCATAATTTACTCAGAGTTAATATTGTACCACTTCATATAAAATGTATGAAAGTTTCAACAATAAAATTCAGTTTAATCACTATCTTTTTTGCTATTGTTGTCATATGTTTTATATGTACCTAAGTAATAAAAACAAAATAAATTTTATTATTTTTTACTTAAAGAGTGATTTTTTGCAGCAAAATGAAGAGAGGGAAAATATATCTTCTATATTTTTATATATCTTTTATATTTTATATCTTTTATATTTTAATGTCACATTTGCTATTTTAGACCCTCTTCATTTCTTCTTATAGATCCAAATTTCTGACTAGTATTATTTCATTCAGATTAAAAAACTTCCTGTGGCATATCTCATAGTGCCCACATGCTGGAATTCTCTCCACTTTCGTTTATCTGAAAATATCTCATTTGACCCTCATTTTTAAAGGATATCTTCACTGCATATAGACTTCTAGTTGAGAGTTGTTACTACTGTTGTTTTCAACACTTTAAAAAAATCATCTCATTGTCTTTTTCCCCTCAGTTGTCTCTGGTGAGAGATCAGCCATTTTCACATCTTTAGTCTCTTGAAAGTAGGATGTTTTCTTTTTTCCTCTGACTGCTTTTAAGATTTTCTCTTTATCTTTGGTTTTCAGTAGCTTGCTATGATCTGCCTTTACGATTTTTAAAAAATTTTGCTTGGGTTTGTCAGGCTTCTTGGATTTATAAGTTGATACTTTTCTTCAAATTGAGGAAAGTTTTGGCATTTATTCTTCATATATTTTTCTGTTTCATTCTCTCTCCTTCCCTTTTGTATCTCCAGTTACACGTGTTAGACTGTGTGGCATTGTCCTACAGATCAATAAATCTTCTTTCATTTTTCCTCTATCTTTTTCAGATTGGATAATTTCTTTTGATCTGCCTTCATGTTCACTAACTCTTCTATAATCCCTAATATATATTATGAAGCCTATGCAGTGAATTTTTCATTTTAGATACTGTACTTTTCAGTTCTGGAATTTTATTTATTCCTTTTATAGTTTCCATTTCTCTGTTGAGATTTCCCATCTGTTTATTTATTACGGCTATGTTTTCTTTTAAGCCTTTGAACACATTTGTAATAGCTGCTTTCATGTTCTTTTCTGTCTTGTCTCGGCTATTTAGGGGTCTGTTTCTCTTTATTGCTTTTTTTCCTTTTTATGGGTCATATTTTCCCACCTCTTCTCATATTTCTTAATTTTGCATTGTATGATGGACCTTGTAGATGATTTGTTGTAGGAAACTGAGTTATGCCCTCTTCTTCTAAAGAATTTTGAGTTTTGTTCTGGGAAGCAGTTAAATAACTAGAGGATCTTTCAGGTTCTGTTGGGCTTGTTTTATTCCTCTTTAAGGACAGGTCTATTTTGGTTTTGAGCTTAATCTTGCATTGTGGCCGTTCCTTTGAGATCTGATTCTTACTCCTGAAGTGTGGCCTTTTAGAGTTTTTGGATGAACACCCAAGGTGCTCAGGGGGCCTCTCCAGTGGATGTGCCAGAGCTCCAGTGTCTCCCAGTGCCTCCCAGTGCCACACAGCTTCCTGCTTCTCCAGAGAGCTCTTGGCCCTGCAGCAGCTGCTCCACTAGACTTTGTGGAGTCTTTCCCTGCAGAGTTTCAGCCCAGCCTTCAGCCACGGACATATGGGGAATCCCCACAGACTTCTGGGACACCCCCTTTTGGAGCTCCCTCTTTTCTGGTACCCTGACCTGAAAATCCCAGGGACTTCTGCAGTCTAGAATTCTGACCTCTGCCTTTTCCACTCAGCAATACTGCCATTCTATGTGGGCTCCAATTTTCTACATTGTGGAAGGAAAATGTCCCCCAGCAGAAAGCCATGGAGATTCCTCTCTTCTCTCAGGGATCACAGTCCTTCACTGTAAGTCGTTCAATGCTTGAAAACAGATATGTCATATACTTTGACCATCTTTTATACTTGTTTATTGTGGGAAGGCAAATCTGGTACCAATTACTCCCTTATGGTTGGGAGCAGAAGTTTGAAAGTTGTTTGTATCCTTAAGTTAAGATTTTATGACTAACCACAAATGTGTTTGGTGAAAACAATGCAATAGAAACTGAAGTTTTTCTCACTGCCCTCCCTTCTGTCCCACCCTCACCCCTGTGGACACACACACCCCAATCATCTGCAAATTCTGAGCTCTGATTACTGCTGGGTATTCCAGTGTGGCTAGGGCTGTGTATTTAAGACTTTTGCTTCAATAGTGTTTCAAATTTTTTTCGTGAGTTGCCATGAATTAAAAATTTGAGAAGTTTGACATAAAATCCAGAGTTTCTACTTCTTTTTTATAATGGAAAGATCTGGTGGCACTCAATGAGCATGGCAACAGTAGCCTGGAGCAGAGCAGTGGTTTCCTTCTTTAGAGAGGCTATGTGTTTTCTGGTCTGCCACAGTCCCAAGCCAGTCCGTTTCACTCAGTTGTGTTGTCTGTCTTATCCCTGTAGCTATTTGTGTATGTGATCCTGGCATGCGGGCAGATAAACTTACACCTAAGTAGTATGCCCACAATATCCAGTGTGATCCACTCCATCATGGCCACGTTCCCCATGATAGCTTTATTCCGTTAATACACCCAATTTTCCCAAGCTCCTTCTGGGTATGTAACTATCTCACAATAGAAAATAAACAAAGGGACAGGGAGCAGAGATATGGAATGGAGTTAAATTTCGCCAGCACACCCTGGTCTTCGCACAGGTGGAAGTTCATCAGTAAGTGGTCAAGGGCCAGGCGTGCTGTCTGCTTCCATTCTGATTCCAAGGTTAAGATGTGTTTATGCCTTTCAGCCAACAAACCTCTCTCATGCTTAAAAGCTTCTCAAATATTACTTTCTTGGAAATTCAGTTTGGCCCTGCTCTGAATTTTATACCCATGGTTTTGCTTGAAAACTCAAAGAAATGAAAAACCATAATTGTTTTGCTTATGTAATAGGAAAATTGTCTTTGTGTTTTATAATCAAAATGTTGCTTTTTAAAAAATTTATTTTGTGCATGTGTGTATGTTTTGGGGATAATAATGCTAACTAACATGTTTTGGGTACTTACTATGTACTAGGCACTCTGCTAAGCATGTTATAGGAAAGATGAAATTTTACCTTCAACAACGATCTTTGCGAGGTAGGAATGAATGCTTTTCTCTTTTTACAGATGAGAAAGTGAGGTGTGGAGAGGTTAAATACCTTGACTGAGAACAAACGGCAAGTAAGCAGTGAAGTTGGAATTCGAAATCCCTGAATTGAAAATGAATACCTGAACCAGGTGCAAACCAGCTTGTGTCCTTTGACTCCCTGACTGTCATGGTCATCAGCAAGAACGTCAAGGTCATGCTGCAGATCCCCACCTGCCACAACTCTTGCAAGTCCCCGCTTTGCACAATCCAGAGGGGTCTTTCATACCCGGAGTTACACTGCATGGCAGCCCTGCCGATTCGAGGATTCACCATGAAGAGGAATCCATTAAAGTGCACGCCTCTTTAGAGTAGAAGTTGGCAAAACGTGCAAAACAAACCACAAAATGTCACAATGAAATGTGCAAATCACACAGGAAGTGAATATCACCCTTCGCGCTCTCCACTGACTCTGCCGCTCGTCCTTGTGTATCGACCTCGCAGCTCTCAGACCCAGAAAGGAGGAAGGACAGAGGCTTGAAGCAAACTCTGTAGTGTTCCCGGAAAGACGTGGCTGAGGAGACCGGTAAACCTTGAGGAGTGCTCCTCCTTCTCACCCAGGGTCACGAAACACTGAAGCTTGAAGGGGCCTAGGAAGACAGTCTTCTCCAGACCTCTCGTTTTACAGATAGAGCGACTGGAGGCCAGAGGTGTGGTCTGACTCCCCAGCTACCAAGTCAATGAAGGCAGAGCTGAGTCCGGAGTCGAGGCCTTGTGGTCCTCCACTCCAGTACTCTTTGCACAGTACCACGGAGCCTCTGCTGGGCAGGACGTAGGGTCTGCTCAGAGGTCACTCTATTCCCCCTTCTGCGTGTGCAGCAGAGGAAGAGCAACATGTACATGAGGGAGCTGGCAGGGGGAGAACAGCGATGATTCACTCAAGAGCCAAAATACCACGTTATTAAAAATAGAGCTGACTCTTTCTCTTCTATTACCACCCAAACTTTTTCATAGCAATTTCCAAGCTGTCTTCCAAGAGTTTGGAAGTAAAGGGAAACAGAGGGTATTGTTTTATTTTATTGGTTACTTCTCTGATAATTAGTGCCAGGAAGCAGAGAAATTAGAATTGTGAAGCTCCTAAGGACACGAGCAAGGTGTGCGTAACTCCTCACTTGCTTCAGTGCTTTGATGTGGCGCCTGTGTCATGATGCTCTTTCATGCATCGTGTCCCATTGTCATAAGTGAAGAAAATGGGCTTGCAGAGGAGACCCGATTTTCCTCAGGTTGCACATCGACTGAGTCCAGAGCACCTGAAACCTCAGTAAGTTCAGTTACTCCTTCTGTGCATGTGCAACCCTCAAATCAAGTGTTTCCAGACATCAGGGAGACGTCAGGATGGGGAGGCAAATTCTGAGTGGTGGACAGAGCTGAGACGTCCTACCTACAGACACAGGCTCACAGCTGCGTGGTGATGGCCAGCCACTCAGCTTCTCCAAGCTATAATTTTCTCATCCACAAAATAACAACAATAGCTGCCTCATGGACTAATATATAGACGGACGATTATCTTTACACAAAATGGTTTTCATTTTCATTTCACTTCAAGGAGCAAATATTCGAGAGACGTTAGAACGTCTCCCCAGTTTGCTCTGTCGACACAAAATCTTCAAGAGTGACAAGAACGGAAGATCTCTAACTGCTTAGGTACAATCAAGTTATCAACAGAAACACCCAACCATGGTGGCAGCATGCCTTCTGATCACACTGCTCCATGGCACAACCATGGTCCCCTCTTTTTATGACTTTTCAGATCCTCCTATTGGCATGAAATAAGGTGGAATACAGCTTTTTAACCTTTCCTAAGCCTCCCTATTTAAATCCTTCATATAAAACTCTGCCTCTACTTTGATATGCTAAGCTGGTATGTGTACGGGTTTTCAAGAGAGAATAGTTGAACAGAATAAAGACTGTACACAGGCCCCTCTTCTGAGGCTATAAACTTTGGTACCTACTCATGTCAGTCATATTCTCAGGTCTGGAAACGGAAACAGAGTTCCACGATGTTACATTATGCATGTCAATAACAAAGTGTAAACTCTAGTGAAGGATAAGGATATCTTTCATGGGCTCGTAACCACAGAAGTGATCGTAAATGAAAGTATTTAGTAAATGGCCAAGAAATAATATAATGAATTGTAATCAGATTTGTAGAGAAGACCTTTTGATGTGTCTGCCCAGCCACTACTTTACCAGTTTTCTGAGAACTATCCACCCATCCAAATGGGTAGGTCTTTTGTGGCTGTATTTATACTGACTAACAACTCTTTCGTTGGTCAAAGCTGATTGGATGAAAGATGGACAGTGGACCCAATCTGAGCCAATGAGATTCTCTCCTGGGGTTTGGACCTAGGGTGGTAATCAGTTAGTTGGGAGCCTTGATGCCAGGAACTGATGTGGTTCTAGAGTTGGACCCATGATACCCCACCATGTGCAAAAGGAGCTAGTGTGGAGAGACAAAAAATAAGGCAGGAACCTGGAGAGAAGGAGAGGAGAGTGACTGCACAGAAAAAGTGGCCGTGCACCCTCTGGTCCTCAGGGATTGTCCAGGTCCTATTTCCTTCTTTCCTGGAGCCTAAGGATTGTTGAATTCTGTGAGATAGACATGGATCCTCCTCCAAAATTCCCATTTTTACACATCTGAAATTGTGTGTTACTTATATAAAAACCTCTCTTGACTGAAGCTGTGTCCAAGATGATTAAGTGGTGAAGGTTATAATCCAGCTGCTCTCTACTGGGCGTGTCTTGTTGGGAGGCTGGGTTTCTCGTGCGGCAGTCCCGTGGAGCAGAGCCTCTGCTGGACACAGCTGCACGAAGCCCTTTGTTCAAGTTCACCTGCCATGTGGTTCTCTCTCTCCTCCCTGTAAGCGGATTCTCCCTGACTAAACCGGCAGCTCCTTTAGGGAGACGACTCTCCTTATTCATCTTTTCATCCCCTGTAGCACCTGGGCTGCGATGCTATGGAATTTGCTGATGGTGTTTATGCAAAAAAAAAAAAAAAAAGGAGAACTTTGTACTCTAATAATTTTCCATTTAGGCAAAACTTCTCTTGCCTCAGTTTAGGAAATAATCACATTTCTTTCTTTTTCTGTTGCAACCAATCTCTCTTCTCAGCTTTGTGTCAAGGAGGAGATAGGTTTATTTAGCCAGTAATTTCCACTGCAGAAAATCTTGGGCCCAGATTGCCCTGCAAAGGCAATATGTTCTGTTTTATTTTTATATTACATTATATTTATTTTAATTGCGTTCTCCATCTGGTCAAAGATAGCATTAAGCACCGTAGATGGAGAAAAGAAACAAAGAGATATCTAACCATGATAATAGTTTGTATTATTATTTTTTAAAGTCCAGGGGCACTGTAACCTCCAGGAATTAGGCAAAAATAGCCTTCCTGTTCAAGAGCTCCAGAAGGATTCTGGAGAGGAAGAGAGATCAAGAGAAATGGACGAAATCAGGGCCGCTGGTGTCCTCTGGGCAGCCCGGAGTGGACTCTTGCACCCAGCCCACACCTGGAAGCAGTTCTAGGACGGTGTGCACCACTGGGTGCAATTCTACACATAACCCTATCTCCAGCGCTTTCACTATTTCCAAAGTAGTTTCAGCAGGACATTAGTGCACAGTTTCAATCGCATGTTTTATTAATAAACCTTAGAAGAGACCCCCATGGGAGAGGTCATTTTCTTCTCATTTCAGGAGATGTTTTTGTGAAATTCAGCTAGCAGCTGGAGGTCTTCCAAATGAAGCTGATATTATGTCAATGGTTTAGTATACCGGAAACCAAATCCTAAAATTGGAAGCCTGCAGGGGAGGGCCAGGCTCGCGGCTTCCAGGTGAGGATGCCGGGTGAGGGGTTAGCGGGGATGCGGAATCATCTGTTCCTGCTTTTAAATCTGAACAAACGAGGGGACTCGGGGAAGAGTTTACACGTGAAAATTTGCCAAAGACGAGTGGGCGGTGACATTCCTGACTATGATCCATTCCTCCGCCCCCTCCTTGCAGTCTATCACTTGGGCTAGTTTACATTTCAGAAAACAAAAATCTGTCTGAAGCTCGCTGAAGTGAGTAATGGAATTTGTTGGTTCACGTCCTGACGGATCCAGGGGTACCTGGCTGCTGGTGTGATTTGATGCAGAGAGTCAGCAAATTCTCAGGGGTTCTGTTGACTTGAAAGCTTTTTGTCCACGTTAGTGTCAGTTCTTTTCTTCAGGCTGGGCCCAGGCTCAGGTTCTAGAAATGGTTTCACAGCTCTGAACATTGCATTCTTTCCCAATGTCAGTCAGAAGAAGAGAAAGCATCTTTCCTAGTCTTTAATGCTTTTAAGAGCAAGGAAGCATTTTCCCCTGAAACCCCAAGGAAAACTCTCCTTATGTTTTATTGGTGCACTCTGGGTGATGTGCTCATCTCTTAAAGTAAGGCCTGGGCAGGGGTGGACGGGCTTCTGTTTGTCAGAGCTCATCCCTGGAGCAGAGAGTGGGGTCGCTCCCACTGGGAGGGAGGCTTTTCCCCAAGGGGACTCTGGGATGTGCCATCATGAAAGAGGAAGAAACGGATACAGGCAGCAAAATCCCAGGTACCTACTACAGTTGAGAGCCGTGACGAGGACCGCGGCCTCCGGCCCTGAATGGGTGCCTTTCACCTGACGGTAACTACTACAGATGCCAATTTCAACATACGTTACAGAATGTGACAGAATAGATGTAACAACAAAAGGCAGAAAAGGACAACTGGTATTTTGGGGGCCTGCGAGGTCAGATGGGAGCTATCCTTGAAAGAGCATGCTGGAACCAGGAAGATGGATTTAATAGTTATAATCAAAGAAGGCAGTGTAGACACAACTGATTCACCACCCACATCCCTTTAACCAGGGAACTTTCCCAGCTGCTATGAGTGTTGGCTGCTAACAGCTTAAAGTCCTCCTGTCCTCCGGGATGACCTGCTATTGGCTGAAGGGAGCCACCTCGCCCAGGAAGTTAACCCGGCTCCCTCCATGCCCAGCCAATCGCTGACTAATGGGACACAAAACTCCCACCCCCTTCGCTCAAGCCGAGACACATCTGTGGTGCAGTTTCTCTCCTGAGCCCCCGGGCCTCGGGCCAAGGCCAGACTTAGCTGAGACCACCTCCTGGCTCAGCTCTCTCTCCTTCCTGTTGATTCCCTTATGGCTACCTCCTGGAGAGCAGCCCCTCAGTAAATTCCACCACCTGAATCTCTGTCTCAGCCTCTGGTTCTAGAGAACCTGACTTAAAACAGAGGCCACGGTGCAGAGGAGAAAAGGCAATGGACCAACCCACAAACAGCTGGGAGCAGGAGCCTTTGTTGAGATGGTTTCCAAGAGTTGATGCGTGATAGGAATCAGAAGGTGCTTGAATTAATTGGGACTTTGCTCTTTCCAAGGAACAGAAACCAACCCCCAAGTAACCGTAAAAGGGAGCGTGTGTTACAAAGAATTGGGTGCCGCAGAGGACCTGGCTGCAGCCTCGCCGGAGCTGCCCGCCGTCTCAGCACCAGCGGCAGCTGCTCCTCCTCTCTCTCACCTGCACACCTGCTTCGCTGTTTTCTTCTCTATCCCCAGGCCACAGGGCGAAAGACTGTCACCCAGAGCTCTTGCACCCAGGAGCCTGAACTGGACTCTGCTGTTGTGATGTTTTGTTCCAAGAGAAGGAATTTGATTGGCCCATTTGTATCACATAAGCCCTGGACCAATCAATCGTAGCCAGGAAGCAAAGGTTTGGGGTGGGTGTAGCGTTACACAAACACATCCCAGAAGCCTGTGGCCAAGCTTGTCCTGTGGCCCAGGTGAAAGAGAAGAGACAGTCCTGCAAGGGAGGCCTTTGCTCAGATGACACTATGGGTGTCCACTATGCTAATGAAAGTAACACGTCCAGGGAGCATCATCTCATGGACTCCACCACCCGGAGGTGATTCCCAGCTCTGTCCTAGTCACAACAGTTATTAATGACGGAGATAGTGTACCCATCGGACTCAGGGACACTTAAAACTGGGAGGAGCCACTAATATGTTAGGTGATGAAACAGGGATGTTGAAAGAGTTTGGTAAACTTAAATAGTGTCCAAAGCAATAAGATTATAAGTAATAGACAAAGAAAGAATCCTTAATTAGTTATAAGCCAATATCACCTCCATAAGAAAAGAATCTTTAATTAGGTTAACAATCTATTTTGTAATAATAGGATGGGGGAAACCTGACTTGACAGTTGTTAGTTAAAAAGAGAATCTGGGAATCTTAGTTGACCATGAGCTGGTTGTAGCATGGCTTGGCTTCTAACAAAGTTTTCACCATTTTAGGCTGCATTTAAAAGTACAGTGTCCATGTCAGGGTAGGAGGCCAAGGTGCGGGAGAAGGTAGGTCGTGGGTCTGTCAGGCCAGGGGTGTGTTCAGTGCTGGGCTCCGTGCTTTAAAGGCCTCAGAAACCCAAATTCAGGAAGTGGAGGAATGCATATTTATTTAGCACCTATTACTTGCTGGACACTACAGACAGAGAGATTTTTAACTACAGGGCCCGGGTTACATGGGCCATCTGGAAATGCAATCTTATGAGAAATGGAACCAGGCATGTTTTGACCAGAGGAGAGCAGACCTATTAAGAGGAGATGTGTGTTCAGGTATTCAATAAGTGGTCACGTGGAGGAAGAAATAAGGCTGATTTCTGCTGTGCGAGGATAAAAGAAGCACATGGAGTGTGGAGTAGAGAGAGGCAGAGGCAGACTGGTGCTGAAGAAGAAGGAGCTTGCTAAGGAGTGGGGATGTCCTGTGTGAGGAAATACGCTTTCTTCCTGAGCGCCTGCACAGCCCTACGAGTGTCCAAGAGGAAACGGAGGTTAGCAGTGATGACACTGGCTGCCGTTTACTGAGCACTCCTGACACACCGGGTTCCATGACAAGTGCTTTACGTGCCCTATCTCAAACCCTCACAATAATCCTGCAGGGCGGCAAATTTATTCCTCCTATTTTAGAAATGGGGAGCCCGATGTCTTGAGGGTTAAGTGACTTGCTCCAGATTGTGTTACTTATAAGTAGCAGAGCCTGGATTTGAACCCATATCTGTTTAATTCCAAAATAGAGATGTTGCCAAGTAGATTCCTGCCTTAGAGGAGGTTGGATTAGATGACTATTAAGGATTAGCATACTAATTTTACTAACTTATTGGATCTCAGTTTCTGTCCAGGATCTCTGAAGTCTTTACCAAAGATAGAAGCATGATTCTAAGAAGAACCTTTTTTGGGAGAAGAAGGCTGATATTCTACCTCAATGAGGCCAGAATAAAAGAAAACAGATCTATTGGTAAGGATTGGCTGCAGTAATAAACAATTCTGAAATCTCAGTGGTTTAACCTGATAACTCTAGCAGAGGTGGGCAGGGGTGGTCCCCCACAGCAGAGACCCCAGCTGAGAGAGGCTTTATCTGGCCCACGCTGGCATCATCACAACAACAGCAGGTGGAAACACAGCAAATTGTGCACTGGCTCTTGAAATTTCTGCCTAGAAGCAACACACATCTTTCCACTCACAATTCTTTGGTCAACATGTGGTCACACCTAACTTCAAAGCCTGTGAGGAAGTGCCACCATATCACGAGACCAGAGGAGGAAAGCTGTAGATTTGAGGTTGCACTGATGGGTTTCACACTAGGATTTTGACAACAGCAAGTAGTAAGCATTGATGT